ACACATGAACTCGGCGAGTTCATCAGGCAGATTGCACAAAATCGACTTTTTTTCAACAATTTAGCACAAATAACAAACAAACAAGCCTAGGCTCTGATACCACTGATGGGTTTTGAGCATTCTAACACTTCCTAAGTGTACATGCAACCCTAATAACCTTGGATCTATGTTTGTCTAATTATCATGCAAAGTTGATTTCCAAGGCTATGATCCTATCTAGCATACATGGGGAACAATTTTAACTTGAATAAAAGATAGAACTACATACCTTGTTGTTGATTTTGATCCTTGAAACCTTGTGAGCCTAGCACCCCAAGTGTGATGCCTCAAATGCTTCACACAACACCAAATGCTATGGAGTAAACTTGGAGAGAAAGTATAACACTCTAAAAATCGGCTCTAGCCCTCAAACATGCATGTGTGTAACCGATTTTGGGAGAAACATGAGCTTTATATAGTGTTGACACATTTAGGGTTACACATGTAACCCTAAGTGTCATGACTCTTCATTCCATGACCCATGGGTTTGTAACTCCCATGGAGCCTCCATGGAGCATCCAATGGTTTTAACCCAACTTGATTATCCATGGAGCCTCTTAGCCCACTATATAAGATATGGAAGATTTACATAATCTACCCATATATCTAATTAGTTATCTTTTGATCACTTAATTAATTCTAAATTAATTCTTGATCAAACTAATTAAATAATATTATTAATATATTAGAACTTATAATATATTAATAAACCACAAGTGTTATTTCTCTCATTTAGTCTATCCAATTGCATGGTGCCATGCAACCCAAATGGACCATGCCGGGTCGGGTCAAGTACATACCAGAAATAGTTATGGACTTAGACACCTTATCCAACATAAAACGCTTTATACAATCTACAGTCGGATTCATGACAGTCTTCTTTCATGCCTACATCCAAAGTATGATCGACTGTGGATGGTTTGAATAATCTTATTGTTCGGGAAGTCAAAACATGCAAAGTGAAACACAAGAATAACCGAATCCAATATGGCACCAAACTTTTGAGTATAAATAAAACACTTTTTATTTGGTCACCATATTGATTACACATTATTCATTGTATAATGTTTCGGATAATCAAATTATTACTTGAATTATAACAACAGTTGTCTCATACTCCAAGCATGCACACTCTGTTTTCCTATGGTCCATACTTTGTGAAATAGATCATTTGAAGACATTTCCGATGATACTCATTTCATAACTCCTAATCCTTTTCATAAGTGTAAAAATATCAAATTCTTGCCACTATTAGAATATGTTAGATTCTAACATTTTATGCAATGATTCTTTGTAATGTCATAGCTTCAAAGTCACCAAGACTTTGCCAATAAAATCACAAACTGCTCTAGTGGAGATTGTTACAAGGCAATTCCATAGATATGAAGTCTCACATTCAAAGTACATTCCTTTGAACATCCTTCTTGCATAAAAGTTTCTAATCTAGACATAGATTCTCGATATCCAACTCCCAATATGGAAACATTTCCATATTTTCCATACGACAACTCATTATTAATAGAATCATATCTAATGTCATTATGGTCCATTCGTTACTATACTTCCAACTGCCCACAAGTGACCAATCCTTGGCGAACCTTAAATTGTCATTGACAGTCGTTTAATTATTTTAGTCATATTCGGTTCTGGTCCTTTTCCCTCTTAATGCCCTAGGCATTTGGAAAATTTAAAACGGTCGAATATTACAACATATGCAATCGATCATATACTCGAAGCGCATGGGACACGATTCATAATGAAAATGTGATACTTTACTAGTTTTTTGCTATAATACTGCCATATATAAAATTCCCTTAAGTTGAATCTTTTCAACATAACATTTATATATGTCCTTTGACTAAATTTGATTAAAATTTCTCGATCCAATCTTTTAGATTTTTGAAATAAAGTATAATATTCTCTCCCTTAATTATAGTAAAACAACATTTCAACCCCTACAATCAATACTTATTGACTTCCAAAGTTCATATTTCTAATACAATATGCTTTAATAAGCCTTTATCTAAGCTTCTCAAACTCATACACCTTTCCTTAGATAGCTCATATGTATGTCTAAACTAATTCAGAACTTATAGCAATAAGTCCTAAATGTTTAGACTAATTTCCAAATCTCACAATTCGAACTATGAAGAGGGATGTCGTAATCAATCGAATTTGAGAACGCAAATATCATAATTTCTATCTCCTTAAAATCTCTCTTAGTGAAAGCATTTCCTCACAATCATTTTCATGAAACGGAGAGAAACCTTATGACACTTAGATTTAATGGTGTATGTGTTCCTATCCTTGTGAATTTGTCATAACCATAATCATAAGACAAGGTTGTGACAAATCCAAACTCATATGGACTGAACTTGTTCAATCTTAATCTCTTGCCACCTGGCAGCACAAGGGCCAACCATGTCTTCCAAGTAGTTAAGCAATTCACCCATACATATCACTAAACTTTCAATGATTAAGGTGTTTTTGCCTTTATGCATTCAAATAAGAACTCATAGAACTCACATGCATAGTCAACTCAATTGGAATGACACAAAAAACAAGAATATGTCAACTAGTGATTGATCAATTCTTGAAGCTTTTCAAGATCATTAAGACTCCCATTGACCTCTTGACATATAAGATTCCCTTGTCAAGAAACATTTCTTGACAAACAAATACTCAAGAGTTAGCGCGGATTCTTATCAAGACAACACTTCACACAATTGCTCTTAGTCGGTCTTTGTCTTATTCAAGACATCACAACTCACCAATTTTAAATGTGCAGGAATAAGAAAACCTTTCCTACTCCACACTTGATGAGTGTTTTAAACTTATTGAAGACATGTCACTCAATATCACAATCTTGGAGTACGATTCTAAGACTTGATTTTTGGAATGAAGTATGATTCACCTTTTGATTTAACCATTTTAACAATTCACGATTCCTCTTCTTAGTCATACTTATGCACTAAGGTGTCCTTAGAGGATTAATTGTGATATGGTTTCATAATCAATGAGACGATCATAAAACATGATACTAAAGTACTCTCCCATCTTTTCAGATTCGAGAAACTTTTATCTTTCTGCCCAATTAATTCTTTTTATTCGTTCTGCCATTCATTGAAACTTTTCAATGATTCAGAATTACACTTAATCTTGTAAGCATAACCACATTTACTAAACTTTTAGTAAATCATAATGAATAGTCTTATCGTTTTTGTGGTGGACTTGACTAGTGCACAACATTGTGTTCTAGTCCTTTAGTCCTTCATACTTGTGTGAACAAGGAATTAGTCTTAATTTCCTAAGTACCAAGATTTCCATACATCACATGACTCAAATCATATGATTCCAAGCTTCTGTCCAATTGAAACTTGGGCGATGGTATTCTTTCAGTAAATCAAATACTGATAACAAATCTCAGGGTAAAATGACTATTTACCCCCGGACAACCTCCAGGTTAAAGTCAACTTTCAGTTGACCAGACTCGCCGAGTTGGACCGCCAACTCGCCAAGTCCCCATCATCCATTTAATCCTCTACTCGCTTCTACTCATCGAGTTTGGCAAAGACTCGATAGGTTCTTCTTCGATACTAACATCGAATCTAATCTTCATCCGACTCGCCGAGTTGTATGAACAACTCGTCGAGTTCCCTTTCAACTTAAGAACACACCCAGTATTTGACTCGCCGAGTTGTATGAACAACTCGTCGAGTCCGACTACTTCCAAATCCAAGTCTTAACTCACTGAGTCCTTACTCTACTCACTGATTCACCCTAAACTCTCAAATCGGGGAAAAACCAAGGACTCACGACTCGACTCGCCGAGTCTGAAGGACAACTCGCCTAGTCCCAAGCATGCCATTACTATACAGTCTATTTTTCTCAATTCCAATGCGTCCAATTCATAGATCTGGGTTCCTAGGACTGATTTCACACGTAAAGTTTCTAACTTTACGTTCATGCATGCTCAAGATAAGCTAAAATGCCCAATAAGAAGCTAAAAGAGGAGATATAGGTTTGGAATGGGTGTTTAGCTCAATAAAGGTGGCAACCTTGAGCTCAAGGAGTCCAGAAAATGCTTAGATCTGAACCCATTCATCTTAACTTCCCATAAATCGACCTCAATGTCTAGAAAATGGCTCAAAAGCAACACTAGCAAGCTTTTAAGAAGATCTACATGATGACAAGTCAAAATTCAAGCTTTATACCTTAGTGGAGGATGGAATGACACAAGAAACTCAGATCTCCTTTGCTCCTCTTGAAAACCTCTCTTCTCTCTTCTTCTTCTAACTTCAAAAATACACCAAAAATCCTTCACAAGATGAGAAATACTCCAAAAAGCTTAAAGGGAGGCTAGGGTTTAGTAAGGGACGCTCTAAGGGTGATGGAGGCTGGTTTGGGGCGCAAAAATGTGTTTAAACAGGGTGTAAACCCTTGAAATTAGGGCTTTATCCAGACATGCAGACTCACCGAGTCCCAGCATATGGACTCGCCGAGTAGCCAACTTAAATCGTGTGAGCATCTCGTTTCTACTCGATAAGTCGGGCTACAGACTCGTCGAGTACCCCTTAAGAAATGAAGATACTTTAATTAAATTACATACCAGAAATGGGGCGTTACATTCTGTTTCAAAAAGGAAGAGCTTAGGATGACTGCATTGCACACACCACATTGTCCCGCATATTACATGACTCTGATGTACTTGGATGTTTATTGATACTGGTTTTTATTAATTTGAAAATCAAAATTTTTAGTCTTAATTTTTGGGACGTTACAACATGAACCCTAGACGGCGGTCTCTTTGGAGAAAAAGGAATAAATATGAAATCCTTTAATATTTGTCGTTGGCGTTGGACTGCGTGTGGAAAAATGGAGGGTCGACGGCTAATGCCCAAACGAAAACGAGAAAAGAGTCGATGGAAGCCTCCCATTTGGGCTGATGAGTGTGGTCGCATCTAATGGAGTGGAAGACACAAAAGATCTACTTGGGTGCAGTTTGTTGAGTTAGAAATGGGGTCATCATCCTCCACTTCATCTGCAAATCTGCAATGCTCCGATGATGGAATATTCAAAAGAAAGAAGACATTAGGTAAGGGTAACCATGGACGGGGAATACAAATTCATAATGATATGAGAGAGATACAAAGAGGACATTGGAGATGAGAAAAGAGGTGGGCCACATTTGTCTTTTTATCAATAAATTAGAAAAGAAATACGTAAATATGAAATTAATTAAAAAATAAATTAATAAATGCACATTAGTCTTTTTAGGTCAGGCAGAGACAAGCGCTTAATAAAATCATAAAATGGGGACTGTCGGAGTTAAAAAAATAAGTTATGGACTAAACACACAAATTACCTCAAACCACAGGGACCATTCATGTAATTTACTATTTTTTCAGATTGTAAACATTAAATGGATTCTTTTAAGCCTAATAAAAATATAAATTAAATAATTTGTATTTGGATAATTAAAAAAGAAAAAACAAACTTTATCTACTACATCAACGGGTATTCTTTATCCTACAGTATAGAAGGGCATAATTGGCATTGTAATTCCGTGCGACTATGTTTCAAGAAAAAGTTGCTTGTTTGGCTGATAATGATGTTAGGCTTGCTTTAGATCCAAATAATAAATATACAACAATACAGGTGAAAGAACTTTGTAAAATATATATTTTTGTAATATTCCCAATTATAAACCCTTTTTTATTTCTCTTATTACTCAAAACATCATGGCCATGGTGATGTTCATTCGCTTCTTTATTCAAGCAGCCTTCTTAAAATATTGGTATGGTATGTAGTGCCTATCTTTGCTCTACTTTTTCTTATTTGATTGATTGTTTTATTTGCATTGTAATTCCGTGCGACTATTTTTTTCATTCGCTTCTTTATTTGGCGTTTTGGTAATGTTTTTTGTTCACAGAGTATAACTGATAAGAATAGTAAGGCAGTAACTGGAAAAATGGCGGATAAGGAAGGCGAATGAATTTCTATTCCATCAAATTGTGAAAACCAAAAAACTTCTTCCTGTCCAAGCCACAAGGCCGATTACAATTTGTAATGATCTTTTTAGGAAATCAAATCATGACCTTCACCTCACAATCATGCTCCACTAAATAATATTCCTCCAATAAATTAAATAACTAACTCATGGCATCACTCCCCTACATGTGGCTTGAGCATCCTCTGATAATTGGGCTGTTCAACGAAAGGATTGGGCTCCGGATCTTAATCAATAGCTGATCTTTTTCATTTTTGGCCCCAAAAATATACTTATTTTACTTAGAATATAGACCAATAAAGTTACAAATTACAAAAACTCTAACATGGACCAAATTGCAAGAGACAAACTTTTTGTGACCAAAACTGAAAAAATAAGCTATACTCAGGGACCAAAAATGTGATTTGCTTTGTTGCTCATAATCTTATGTTTCTTTTCTTCGAGCGGGTGTTAAGATACATGAATAGATGATCCAAGAGGTGTTTAATGGTCAAGAGATACATGTTTGAACACGTACGTGCTGTGTGGAAGCCCAATTCGGGTGTTCTGTTATTAATATATATTATATATGTAATGAATAATTAAATATTTTATCATTTTCCTAAACCAATCTGGTTAAGTTTCTGCTTTTGTTTTCCCAAACCGGGTTTTTTGTGCACTTATAAATGTCTTATTTTAGACAACACGGGAAAAATATAATGGCCACCCCAGCTGGTGTTAAGTGGCAAATTTATTGACACTGTATACTGGAAAATAAGAATTAGATAACAAACTACATCTGTCTAGCCTTTTGCAAACTTGAAACGAACACAACTACCTTCACATAAACCCAATCTTTGAAGCTCTCATAAAATTGAAAAAATGCATGTCTCCCACGATTGTTGAGAAGTAAAACCCCACATGCTATCCAAAATCCAGTAACAAAACCCATGCCCCCACCAATATAAAACCATCCCATGAGTTCATCATCTGTGTCTTCCCCATCACCCTCACTTTTACCAATCACCGATGTTGCTTCTGATTCTTCATCTCCAGGACATTTTTTGGTAAGGGGAGGTCCACATAGTCCTTTGTTTCCATTGTATCTTGAACGTGGAAAGGACTGGAGCTGAGTGCTAGTTGGGATTCTCCCTGAAAAGCTATTATATGACAAGTCTAGGTAATTCAGTAAACTCATAAAAGACATGCTTGATGGAATTCGCCCTGAGAAATTGTTTCGTGATAAATCCAAAGTCAAAAGCTTTTTCATCTCACCAATTTTCTTTGGAATCTCTCCAGATAGAGCGTTCTTTGACAGGTTGAGGGCAATCAAGTCAGAAAGTTTGGTAATTTCATATGGGATTTGTCCTGTTAACCTGTTGCTTGATAGGTCAATGGTCTTCAATAATTTCAGAGTGCTAAAGAATTCACGTTCATCTCCTTGCCACTCTATCATTGCATGGTCAACATATGTCTCCAATGCAAATATATTATCAGTTACATTTCTATAATACTGCACATCTTGTGAGAATCCTCCTTGTTGAACCATGCTTGTAAGATTACTCAAACATGAGGGGATGCTTCCATGGAGATTGTTCATTGACAAGTCCAAAACTTGAAGATTAGGTAACTGACATAACTGTAAAGGGATGGTTCCAATGAATTTGTTTGATCTTAGGATAAGAACATACAAACCTGATAAGTTTTCCCCAATCCAGACAGGTACAGTACCAGAAAACTTGTTGGCCCCCAAATTCAACGAGATTAAACTCGTGCAATTTTTTAAAGACAAAGGCAATTCGCCAGAGAAACTGTTCTTGAATAAATACAACACCTTGAGTTCTATCATAGATCCAATAGAGGGAGGAAGACTTCCAAACAGATTGTTGTGTCCGAGATTGAGAACTCTTAGGTGTTTGAAATGCCACAAACAGTCTGGGAGTTGTCCGACTAATGAGTTATGAGAAAGGTCAAGAAAGTATAAGAGCCCATCAACAATTTGGCATATAAAGGAGATTACTCCAGTGAATTTGTTTCTGGAAAGATTTAACGATGTCAAAGTGGTAGTAACATTCGGTATCGGACCATTAAAGCTGTTGGAACTCAAATCCATCTCTGAATAATCTTTGGCAAAATTTGATAATAAATCTGGTACTTTCCCGCTAATGTTATTGGAAGAGAGATTCAGATATTTTAATTGAGAAGGCCACGCGTCCCAAAACTCCAGAGGAATGGTGTCTGAAATTCCAGTATTGGAAAGATCAAGATGTGTAAGATTTTTGAGTGTCTGAATCAACTTGGGGAAGCGAGGCTCTAGCAGCTTGCAAGAGCTCAGATCAAGATATTTAACATAAGAGATGTTTGACAAGTGATATGTGGAAGGAACTGTAAGATTATTAAAAGAAAGGTCAAGGTATTCAAGCCTGGGTAGTTCCCACAGTTTCTCACTTATACTTCCATTTAAGTGATTATGAGATAGGTCCAAGTATCGTAGGGATGAAAACTTTTGGATGTCATCTGACAATGACCCTGTAAACTGGTTCTTGAAAGCAAACAATGATCGTAATCCAAGAGACAAGTTGTTGAGAAAATCAGGAAAGTTAAGAGCAACAGAGTTGTCAGCGAATGACAATCCAGTCAAACTAGAGAGGTTACCAAAATATTTGGGTATCCCATCTAACATGTTGCCATTGAGACCAAGAGAAATGGGGATATTGGTGGTTAATGGGTACAACCAATGATACATGGATGAGGTGAGATTGTTGTATCCAAGATCAAGTCTAAAAAAAGATGATGAAGAAGAAGAAGAAGAGTTGAGAAATGAAGAAGAATATGGATACATGACCTGTGACAGCTCACATCTCCTTAAACTTAACCATGAGAGTTTCGGGAGACTCAGAATTACATCCACCCATTTCTCTGCTTTTGCTAGGGAAATCCCATCCATATCAAGTTCCTCCAAATGAGTGAGATGAGACAACCACTCTACCTTTTCAACTCTACACCTTCCAACATTTGAAAGGTAAAGCACTTGCAAGTTGGTGAGGTTTCCAAACTCTGGAGGAATGGTTCCATAAAGAGAGTTAAAGTTAAGGTTAAGAAACGTTAACTCGGTCAAGGAACCAAGGGACCTGGGAATGGTTCCAGAAAAAGAGTTATCGGAAAGGGAAAGGTAAGTTAATCGAGTCAAAGAACCAAATGAAAGTGGGAATGTTTCCATGAAAATAATTTATGGAAAGACCAAGAAAAGTCAAGTAGGTTAAGTTAAGCAATGAATCGCTTATCTCACCTTCAAGATTACGGTAGCCAATTTCTAGCATTGTGACATGACCTGTTTGATTGTTGCACGTGACTCCGCTCCAGTTACAGCAGTCATGTTCGTCAGCTCTCCATGTAGAGAGACGACCATGGGGGTCATGAAGGGGAGCTTTGAACAGAAGGAGAGCTTCTCTCTCATTATCCAAACACTTTTTCATATTTCTATCATCTCCTCCCACTGGTACTAATTGGTTGGTAGTTGTAGTCAGCAAGAGAATTGACAACATTATAAAAACACAAGGATTCATGTTGTAAATGAAATTCTTAATTGCTAATTTCTGGTTTGTATTGATGCATGCTTGCCTATATGAACTGCCCCCATGAGTGTTTATATAGTCTCCACTGTGAAGTGTGAACATGAAGGATTCTAAGTGGGTGCATGGCTAAAATTCATGGTCTGCTTGTGTGGGGCATACAACATGCAATTTGCATTGCATGAAAGAAAAAGCATTGCCACAAATTAAACGATTCAAAGACTTGTAAGACTTGCAAGTCTTGGATATTTGTATTTACGTACTATCTATATATCGTCTTTTCCCATCTCGTGATATTTTTTTGGGCCATGTCATATAAATCCCAAAAATCAAACAAAACTAATGAAATCAAATACAAATTTACGGCTACTTATGAAATAGTAATGATATTACTTTGGGTCTTTATATAAAAATTAAAAAGTGACGTTGAATATAAAATCTCAACAAAACATATATAAACATAAACAGATAATATGGAGAACCGAAGAACAAATGCGCTGAGATAATTTACCTGATGGAGAACCACAACATGACAACGGTGGCGACGTGGGAGATAGATAGAAGAGAAGAGACGAGTTCAAAATTAATATAAGGATTGATAAAGTTCAAATCCCCTGGATCCCTAAGTTTTTGCGATATACCAATCAAGCACATTAATCCACTATGCCATAAGCTTACTAAAGTTAAAAGAGTATACTTATTTTTTTTTTTTTTCAAGTTCTGACATTAAAATCTATAATCCATAGCATTTGGATATTTATTTGAAATTTAAATTATCATTAGGGTTTCAATCGTTGAGGTAGATTTTAGTATTTTATAGACTTCAGATATCAATTTTGTAGATGATTTATAACAATTTTTCAATATAGATAACACAAACTTTACTATATATTCAATAGTTTTTTTAAACACTCAAGTTTTATATAAGTTTTTGTGATTTTATCCTTTTTTTGTTTGAAAATTTAATACTAATCTTTATACTGTCAGCTATTTTTTTAAAAAAAATTACTTAAAATTTTAGAATGTTTCAAATGCTCCATTCATGCTAAAAAAACATTTAAAAAAACATCATTTTTTACAAAATATAAATATATTATTTTTATTAATTTCTTATTATGAAAAAGTTTGTTAAGTATCAAGTGTGAAAATAGTTTGATTTTTTTACTAAAACCAAAGATGAAATCAAAATTTTCAGTTTTTGATTTTGGAAATTCCAAACCATTGATTTTGGGTTTCGATTTCTCGTTTTTATTTTGCTATTTTTGTTATTTTTTGTTTTAACTTTATTTTAACGATTTTATCATAATAATGTTCCAAAAGTTCAATAAAAACATGTAAATATCTTAAAACTTAACGTAATATAAGATGAGATCATCACATGTTTATGGTTTTACTTTACAATACAAACAATAAATACATAATAACTATTTTGACTTCTAAAACACTTAATCAATTAAACATGTGAATAAAATGACATATTTTGTGTGACAATTAACAGATTGACCATATTTTTTTTTTACTTAAAGCACAATGACCATCAATTTCATAAGCGTTGCAAATTACGAAATTGGTTTATTAATGGTCCCCAATCACAAAAGTTATTTAAAGATATATCCTGAAATTGTTCATATTTTAAACAATATGGTCTAAATTCGCAATTTTCTTTATGATTTTTTTACTCTTTTGTTGGTAAAGGTAATTTCACAATTATCTATTGTGAAAATAGGTGGTGATTTTGTTAAAAAGATATTCGTTAAAGGAGACCATCTATTTTGGTCATTTTGTGACCATCCCTTTATTAAAAACAATGCAACAACCCTTACAACTAATGTTTAGGTCTATGTAATTCAGGTAATTCTTAATCATTTAAAGTGGTTTTTAAGTCATGTAGCTATGACAGAAAATTACTGCAAAAAATAAAATTAAATAAAATAAATAATCTGACCTTGTACGCAATTTTCTTTAAAATTTTTGTAATGTTTTGTTGGTAAAGGTAATTTCACAATTATTCTACTGCGGAAATAGGTGTTCATCTCTAAATATTATTAAAGGGCTATTTGGCAGCATCTGAATTTTTAAGATCTGAATTTTTAAGAGATTTGAATGTCTAAGAGGGTCTGAATTTTTAAGATCTAAACTTCTAACATATTGTTTGGTTGGAACCTCTGAATTGTTATGCTGAATAACAAAAATGACCATTTTACCCTTCTGTATTATTTTTTGTTGAATTCAATGTTTCTATTTAGAAAACAATTTGACGAACTTATTGAATAATTGTGAAAAATAACTTGACGATTATGTACATCAAAATAAAAACATGCTCAAGCTCTTACCTAGCTAATTAATGGTACAATGTTTTTGAAATAAATACATGTTCATACACCCCCTAATTTGTGACGAAATGAACATTCCATTGCTAATACACATCCATATTACAAAGATTCACAGAAATTCAAAATTGATAACAAAGTCAAATTTAAGTATTTACATTCACAACTTATGTAAATAGAATAGTGAAAAGCACAAATTTACATTCTTTTTTACTTTTGCTCCGTGGATCAAAAGATACCCCTAAGCATTGACACCCATCCAATATCTTTTTCACCTTTTGTATCGGTATGGACGGTACCAAGTTGTAGTGCTGCACCATAATAAGACTTTTAAGAAACTACTAATCAAATCATAACCATAACTATCTGAATTAACAATGAACTGTAAGCACATCTCCAGAATAGCAACAAAGTAGATAAATGATTAAATTGGTTCAAATCTTGATAAAACATCAGCCAGCAAACTCAATAATGGGTAATAAACAACTCAATAATTGGTTCAACTTTTCTAGAAAACACTTCTATCGGATCAAAACTATATTGATTCTAAGTATACACCTGTTATCATATTTCATACACAAATACATACCAATATGACTTGAAATATGCATATGAAAATGGTGGGGCTGGCCGATTAGGGCTGAGTCATGGGGTTGGCTAATAAATAAATAATATCTCATGCAGTGATCGATTGACAATTCCAAAAAAGCAAGATAAATTGAAAACCCTAAAATTCTACACAATACCTGGTGTGATATCCGAAAATGGTGGGCCTGGCCGATCGTCCTGTTAGGTGGAGGGACTGCGCTCCAACGATGGTCCGATTAGGGCTGTGAGTCGTTGGAGGAGATGGTGACAAACAGGCGTTGGAGGGTACACTACAAACTAAATGACATTTAGTGGCATAATTTTTTAGTGACACTTTTTGTTTATGCCACTATATTATAGTTTTAGTGGCACTTATTTATTTGTGCCACTAATACATTGAAAATTCTAATTTTTCATCTTCGCGCTCCTAACTCCCTCCTAATTCCACCAACTCAAAAGTACTACGTTTTAACCTTCTTCACATCCTTATATACGTTTTTATAAGTGCTATGATTTACCATTCCCTTTTCTTTGATATTTGTGGTTGTCCCTAATGAGATGACTCATCCCCTAACCAGACAACACATGATTCTCGATGGCAACACAACCCTACCATCGGAATAACGCATACTTTCCTACGTCAGCAACACAACCCTGCATCGTACCAACACACACTTCATGACGGCTAAGAAATTACAGATTTCTTATCTCACTTGGGGAGAAAACGAATCACATAAAGGTACTGTATTTCTATTCACTCATTAGTTATTTTCTTTTTAGAAATTAGACATTTTGTAGCAAGTAAGTTTAGAAATTTACAAATTTCTTATCTCACTTGCGCATCCTCTCGTAATCTTAACTATCAAATAAGTTTAACCTAATTTTTTTTATTCTAAATTTAAAATAGTCGGACCTCTTTGTATTCGATTTGCTTTACTTTGGTTCCAATAGTATATATATTGATAGGTTTAGTTTTTGTTGAATTTGAGCCTCTAATTTCTATTTTTGTGGATGGATATTGGATAGTGTTGTTTGTTTCATATCTTAGGTTAGTTATGGAATTTGCTTACTTAGATTTACTTTCTGCAAACGAATTGATGAGTTTTTGAGCATTTATGTAGTTTTGCTCATTTATATGTATTTGATATTTTCTCTTATGTTTTAACAATTTAACTTATTATCATAGTACGATGCTTTAATTATGTGTCATTTTATATGCTTCATGTTCCATTAACAATCTCTTATCTTATTTCTTTCTATGTTTTTTCCATTGGGTCCCAATCACAACATTTTGGTCTTAAAGGTTGTAAGTTCTTTTGACAAGAAGCAAACAATACCTAAGCTAAATTGTCAATGCATCCAGCTCATCCACTTTTCCTTAGAATCTAGAGCAACGAGCGTACTTATGTATATAAGATATAAGATAAGATATAAGATATAAAAGATTAATAATTAAATATTTTATCCTTTTTCAAATGCTTAAAATTATTGTTATAATATTTTAAACACTACATTATATACCACTATACCAGGATATAAGAAGTCAAAAATAACTATTGGCCACCATGGTGTTAGTGGCAAATTTATTGATATTGGGAGATTAAAAACCACTCACAATTTACATTATATACTGGGAAATAAGAAGACAAAAAAATACAAAATTAGATTACAAACTACGTATATATAGCCTTTTGCAAATTTGCAATGACCACAACCATCTTCACACAAACCCATGATCTTTGAAGCTCTCATAAAACTGAAAAAATGCATGTCTCCCACGACGGTTGAGAAGTAAAGCCCCACATGCTATCCAAAAGCCAGTAGCAAAACCCATGCCCCCACCAATATAAAACCATCCCTAGAGTTCATCATCACCCTCACTTTTACCATTACCAATGATGGGTGGTGATTCTGATTCTTCATCTCCTGGACATTTTTTTGTAAGGGGAGGCCCACATAGACGTGCGTTTCCATTGTATCTTGAAGGTGGAAAGGATTGGAGTTGAGTGCTGGTTGGGTTCCTCCCCAAAAAGCTATTATATGACAAGTGTTGTA